CTTGCTGTTTACTTTGGGATCACCGTCCTCTGTCACGTCACGTGATTCAAGAAACAAAAAAAGCTTTAGTATAATGTCCGGTATATATATTCGTGGTTACATGTATACTAATATTAATATATGCAAATTAGGAGCGTTCGTAGTGGTCACTTGCTTACTTCCACTACTAGAGTCACGAGACCACAACATTCGGGGGCATCAAAACAGTACATAGAAAAAAAATTCAAATATATGACCAAAACAAGACTCTGATTGAGATTTGAGGAAGAGGGGACTTATACGAGAAGATAGTTCCACTGCCACCGTACGTCAAAGTACTTTGTTCAGATTAATTTCTCTCTTTCTCTATCTCCTTATTTTAGAAGATATAATTCTACTTTACTGCAGCAAATATCTATTTTTCCTTGGTTATATAAATAGTAAAAAGAGGTTTGTAACATGGGAATGTACCGTGTACGAAAGTAAACCTTCTGCACCAAGAAGATGGTGCCAGCTGGAATAGACACTGTCGGTAGTAAGTGAAGATTAGTTAAATAAATAGTAAAAAACAAATATCTCATTATGGGTACCTCTCGTTCCGTGCCATGGTGTTTAATTAACAGTTAACACTGAATGTGCAGTGGGGTTGGGCCCTTGTGGAGAGTCACTTAACATATTATAAGAATTAATTATTATTCAAAATACGATATTATATCAATTTAAGCTTATCTTAATGTGATAAACCCTAGCAAGCGTCACACGACACGGCCCGTTTCTTTCTCCTTCAGTTTAATTAAACCATATTTCATTTAATTTTCTGTAGACGATATTTTACTCCTTCGTGCAAACCAATAGTTACTATTTAATCTAACGTTTTGTAGGTAAAATGAAAGTTACACCTCTAATTCAAACACGCAAATCATATAATATCTATGGAGGGTCAAATGGTTAACTATTCTCTCTTACTCTTTTGTTTATTTTTTCCCCAACCATCTTATTCCTTCTTCTTTTGTAATGTTTATGGCCCCCACATGCAGCCACGTGGGTAAATGACTTTTTCTTTACTGGTTCATTTATTTATTTTTGTTAAAGATGAAAATTATTTATCTTTTAGAACTTCTGTGGATAGGTCAAGAACTAAAATTGTCGGCACGTACGATAAACCATGTGTTATACCTGCATATAGTTGAAAAAAATTAAGAGAGAGGGGCCAAAATTAATGTTAATCAATAGTTTATCCGCCGAACACAACTCGTTTACTCGTAAAATAAAATAATTCAGACTAATTGTTCTTCTTACAATATTCGCCTGCATCATATATTATACAGTGGAAGTCGCTTTTAATTTCAGTTTGAGCTTTTAAAACTTCATAATTATATGTATTTCAATGTACAGACCTTCATAAATTGGACAATGGCGCAAAATTTATAGAACATGAGCGGAGCAAATTGTCAAATCTAATTAGGTATATATGTATTCAAAATTTCTTTGTTATAATTTCTTATAACAAGTGTTACCCCAAATTTGATTTATAACAAACGATTAGGTACCCAAATAGCAAAGTTTTATGTAAAAAGAACACTGAGGATCAGTACCGGCCCTGAGGGGAAGCATTATAAGCAACCGCTTCCGGCGCTCAAAAAATATTTGAAAAATTTAGCCTTTTTTATAAGAAAATTATTATTATAGTATATAAACGTTCTTATAAAAATGGCCAATTTTTAAAAAATTGCTTCTGGTCTTTCCCATGTCAGGATCGGTACTGCTGAGGATATGACCCACTANGGATCAGTACCGGCCCTGAGGGGAAGCATTATAAGCAACCGCTTCCGGCGCTCAAAAAATATTTGAAAAATTTAGCCTTTTTTATAAGAAAATTATTATTATAGTATATAAACGTTCTTATAAAAATGGCCAATTTTTAAAAAATTGCTTCTGGTCTTTCCCATGTCAGGATCGGTACTGCTGAGGATATGACCCACTACATGATACGTACATAACATTAGTACAGAAGCAGTGAAAGAGACGTACATATGATGGCTAAAACCATTTACTATAGACTAACAGAAGAAAACAAAAAGGTTTAAATATAAACTCAAGTTAGGTCACATTTTACCCCAAAAAACTCAGGTGAGGTTAACAATATTCTAGTTTGGGGAAGTTTTTTTAGTATCATAATTTTCTTGTTTTCAACGAATCAAATGCAGTATGAGATTAGAACATTTTATACAATTTGAGCTAGATATGCTAATTAATTTCCATAGGTAAATTAGGTAGTTAAAGTTCATTTAAATGAATTTTGTGAAAAATATAAAAATCAATGATGATCGTGTGTGATGTTTAAAAATAGCTCATCATTTTTATCTGCATCTCGAACTCAGCTACATGGAAATCCGAGGACTACGGATTTTAAGAAAATAAAATCGAAATTACTACTATTTTTTTGT